GTTTTGTTTAACTGCAGTTATTATTTTTGTTGTTGTTGGTTAACTAAAAACGACAGACGTACCCTTTTTTATACCCTCGTCGGGGGTATCATAATTTTATCGTCAATTTTGTAATGCATTAAAGGAGACGTCTGCGGCCACACAAGGTATTATTATTATATATTTGTACAAAATAGTTTAGTGCTTTAGCTGCCATAGGAACGAACTTTTTAGTTTAACAACTTATCCTAACCTAAAGCATCAGTAATGCCGAACCTTTCGTTAAAAAAACAACTACCAACATCTGACTACTATATTATATAGTTTTTCTAGGACAAATTGATACGATATTTTTTACGATGTGGATCTACAAGGGCATGTTATCTTCGGCGTGCCTAAGGTACCAATTATTCCTTGTTTTTTTTCTACACTCTGATTTACAAATATTTGCATATTAGGGAAACTGAATTGAAGCGAAACATATTTGAAATGTTCTATGCAGCAATGCTTTAGTGTTCCTATGCAAAAAGGAGCGTTAGATTTCGAATTTTGCAAGACAACAATTTGCTCGCATCGTATTTATTATAGCCAATTTGTTGTTGTTCCTATTGTTATTGTGCTAGTTCAGTTCATTTAGTTGTCATACCTCTTTCGGGCATTCCACAGAGAGAGAGAGAGCTGTGGGGTCGTGGCAAGTTTTGTATAAACTTTGATTTTGTGGCAGAATTAAAAAGTTGTTTATTTAGAATGTTGTTGTTCTGTTCCCTTGTTGTCTATCTGTCTGTGTTTGCCAGCTGTTGGGGGAAGCTATTTGAATTTGCCACTGTGTTTTCGCATTGTTGTCATTTCGTTGTTGGCCTTCGTTGTCCGTAATTGCAAATTGGATTGCCATTTAAAGTTAGCTCTGAAAATTATGCAAACCAATCAAAATAACTAGAGTGCTAAACGAATAAGTTAAAATGTGAAATATTTTAGCATAAAGATTTTCATATTAAAACTTAATTTCATTCAGGTGCCACAAACAATATTCACAAAATATTGAATTGCTATTGCAATCTAATTCATCGATCTGAACGAAAAACATATTAGTTTTAATTGTTATTTAGTTTAAAATGGAGTTGTGCATATAGGATATAATATACTGATAAGGTGTTAAATTTGAATTCATTCATTACCTTCACAATCCATATGCATGGCAATGAAAGGTATAATTATAAGAACTGGGAATGGAAATTTTATTTTCTTTCTGCAGTTTTTAGTGGCTTAGCTAATTCATATTTAGTATTATCTCAAGTTAAACTAATATTTATTCCTTCAATTCTGTATTTCGCTTAAATCATGAGTTGCTCCAACAACGCACTCCATTTCAAAATGATTTCTCGTTAAATTTGAAAACCCAACCATAGCAAACATCCCCATTTAAGTTCTGCACACTGCGTATGCGTAATATTTTTCCGAGAATCAACTGGAAATTGCTGTTGTCTCAGCTGCAAATGAATTTGCAGTTTGCTATCGATTTGCATTTTTAGCTCTTGGCTAGCATTTCGCATGCAACAAAGGCAAACACGGAGCCGTTGCCACGCCCACTTCTGTGTACGTGTGTACATATGTGTGGCCGTAAGGCCGCTCAATCAATTAGTCAAAAGTTCATATTTTACGCCCAAGTGCACTAATTTGACTTTGAGCTGCTTTGGCAGTTGTATGTGTGTTGTATTAAGAGTACAGGCTGTTATGAGCGGCTATGTATAGCATGGCATCGCTTTGCTTGTCGTTTGTTTTATTAACATGGCAAACTCGAGTTGCTCCCCAGCCCGCCCCCAGGCTATCCAATCGGTTCTCGGAATAGTTGGCCACTCAAAACTGGCCATAACTCATATGTGTATAGGCTCGTTGGGTGGGCTACAATTGTGGAATGTCGACACCACCCACCACCCAAAACGTTGCCTGACAATTAATCACTTTGTCATACGCCCACACACACACACACACACAAATCGAGGCAAACACACACGCCCCTCAAACCCCGTCAATCATTAATTTATCATGTGCACTTAGCACGAAAATTGCGCCAACTACAAATACAGTACGCCCCACTTATGGTGTCTATCACTATTTCTCTCTCTCTCTCTCTCTCTCTCTCTCTCTCTTCTTTTTTACTCTGGCTATTTGTGTCGCAGGTGCAGCAAGCGGTGTCCTTTTGTTCGGTCTGCTGCTTTTTCTAGGTTGTTATTGCTGTTGCTGCTGCTGCTGCTGCTGCTGCTGCTGCTGTTGACATGTGACGCCAATGTGGCAGCAGTGGCAGTGTGTCCAGTGTCCTGTGTCATGCAATACGCTAACCAATCCAATCAAATTGTAATTACCGCACAGTGGTTTACCCAAAGGAGGGGAAGCGAGGTGGCGGGGCGTGGCATAAAAATGTACATTAAATACTTAAAAACTACAAATTAATTGCTCGCAACACTTTGCAAACATTCGCAATATTTACACAAAAATTAAAAATTAATAAAGCGCAACGCTAAAAAAAAAAAACCCGTTTGGATTTTGTACATTTTATTTTATTTTCATATTTCTTTTTTATAATGTGCTTTTTGATGAAATTTTAATTGTTTATTTTGTGCAGCATAAAAATGTATAATGGAATTTGTGTGGCTCGTGTTATAAGCATTATTAAAAATATTCTTTAATATACGAGTATATATATTTTTTTATTGTTCTTTTTGATTAAGCGATTCACTATAATTTTGTTCGCTTACGTTGTTAAGCGATATTTCAATCAATTGACGCTGAGCGTGAAAGCTTAAACAAAGGTGAAAAATAGTGCCACTTAAATGGCTGCCTTTAGCGATTGTGTAATCGAATATTGCGCAAATTACACAAATTGTTTTTTATTTACAAGCCGAGTGAATGAGGGAAAAACACTGATTGAAGTTGGCAGTTATATAATAGTCATATTGAGTGTAAAACGATTGCTGTGTGGAGCGATTCCCCATTGCTTGTGTGAGAGTAGATTGTTAAGCTTTCAGCTGAAAGGCAGATCCCCAAGTCTGTTCATATTTACTACCAACCAACCACATGCACTAACTTTCTAATGCGACATTTACATTTATATTATTGGCTTAGCTGCAGCCGAAGTTTTTGGCAATGAATCCAGCCAACAAGCAGACACTTCACCAATGACACGCCCAGCAAAAAACAAAAAGAAAACAAAACAAAGTGAAAACTCTTTTAAATCGTGTCGCGACTGTCGTGTTCCGAGTCATGTCTTTAGCATCGTCCAAGTTGTCGTCTCCATTATCTTGTGCAGGCAACACCCCGAACTACATTGTCGGAGTTTACACCTGCCAAACACACCCACACACACACACACACGCACATTTGTTGGTGTCGAAAAATGCAATTTTTAAATTTCCATTAATTTCGCGCTGTCGACTTTTGTGAAATGTCACTTGTGAATTCAAAAACGTGCCACGAAGAAGCTGCTGCACAAGAGCGACAGCACCAGGCGTGGCACACTTCAGCCTTGTTATTGTTATTGTTGTGCAGTCTGTGGAAAATGCAGGCGACCAGCTCAGAAACCAACAACAACAACAGCAACAATGCCAGTTACGATGCGAGTAATGTTGCTGCCCAGGTGAAGGCTGCTAGCAGAAGATGCCTCCTATTTAAGTGACTGACAGTCAGTCGACAGACGCGTATATGTGTCTGCGTGTATGTAAAAGCAGTGGCTGCTGTGGCACACAACCTGCAACCTGCAACCTGCAACCTGCACTTTGCCAGACAGCGAGCCTCCGGGTAAAAGGCAAAACCAGCAGCAACTAACAAACGGTTCCATTTCTTTATTTTTTTGGTTCTATTACTCTTTTTTCTTGCAAAGGGTAATATAATTTTGTTACGAGATGTGTTGCATTGAAGGAGGGCGTTTTGTGCCTATAAATTATATATGTACTCAATCAAAACGATTTATTGGCACTCTCATTTTTGAAGCTATCTCGACATATCCATATTTATTCTGCAAGCAGGACATAGGCTGGAGTTATCTCAAGAATAATCGATTAAAAGATGAGTTCTTGCATGAAAAATATAAGGTTTTCAAGATATTCTGACCAAAGCGCTGTTAAGTACACTAATCAAGCTGAATCTAGCTGTAAATTTGAACAGATTTTATTGTTTTCGATAATCTGTATTATCTACAGCAGGCGATCTTAAAACAGTGCTCTTTCTTGATCACTAATATTATATTTACATATGCAATTAATCAACATCCGACAAACTGCAATCTGCCAGGGTATATTATTGTGTGCTCGACAAAGATAGCTTTTTAGTTTCTTGTTTTGTTCTTCTTTTTAATGACATACATGAACGAGGCGTGGACTTGAGTCTGCAAGAACACTTATGCCCCAAAGCCTGTCGCGACCCGCTCCTAGTACCGCTTGGCGGCACTATCATAGTCTTCCGTCAAGGAGCGTTGTACTATTTTAGACGCCTTCACTTCATGCTGAACAAGCGAAATAGCGTCAACGACAACGTGACATTTAATTCAAAATGTTTCTGTTTTTTTTGTTTGTCATTCTCTTTTGCGCTTGTTAACACAGAGATAAAAACCACGGCAACAATAATAAAATACTCTAAGCGAACCGGTCGACTGAGTAGGACAGTAAGCTGCTGTTTTAAGTGATAAAAAAACCCCAATGACATAAATTAAAGATGCATGGGTTCACCTTTGGCATACACTCTAAACAGCTAAAAAAAAATCCGAATTAATTGCCAATCTAATAACTTACGTAACGCCAACTTGGCATTGGGTCATTCTGCAGCGAAACCCAAGTTGTGCAACAAAAGCAGCTGCATTAACCGCCAACCAATCAAGAAGGAAAAGTTGTTGCAACTATTACTTAATGTGGCTTGCAAAAACACAATTTTTGTTTGCAATTGAATGGCTTTGTAATTTCTCGGAAATCTTTATCATAGAAAGGACTTGAAATAATATTAATATATATGTTTCTCCAAGTAAAGATTCACTATACTTAATAACTTGAATTTATTAATCCAAAATTTAAGACATTATACATGAACATGCGATTAGTCGTCTTCGTCATCATCCTCGCCACCCTCCGCTGGTCCGGCTTCTTCGCCCTCCTCCTCGCCGGCAGGCTCCTCGGATGTGCTAATCTCCTCAATGGGCTCGATATCGGATGCCAAATCCTCTTCGAAGTCACTAATTTCGCCCAATTCCTCCAGGCACTTGTCATAGTTCTCGTGGAAGCGTATGTTCTCATTGAGCGAGACAACATCCATGTCCTGATCCGGGGGCAGCAGCATTGGCGCCGTGCCCACTGGGCATTCTGTGAGATTGCGTATACGCAACGTGTGTATGTGAAATATAGCCGAACGATTCGATTCGAGAAGCACTTGATGGAAAACGCTTAGCAATCGATCCATGTTGCCAAAGATGCGCACAGATGCGCTTTTGGGATCTTCACTCGCCTCAAGTATGCGGCCAACAATGTGATGGCGATACGGATCCATTAGATAGAGGAAATCACCCTTCTTCCACAGCGAATACATTTGATTGTTGATCTGAAAGATGACATAATCGTTCTCATCCAGCGCCTTATCCAGCATCAAGTGGAAATCATTAAACTTGTACATTGGCACACATTTCCACCAGCCCTCGAACACATTTGGAGTCAGCAGCACCTCAGCCACAAACTGACCCATGCGTATCTGCCTGGGAAACGAATCCAGGTCCATCGGTTTATTTAGATCGGTGCACGGTTCCCAGCAATTCTTGCACATGTTGGCGCCATAGCAAATGATCTTATCATATGTCTTCATGTCCCACGTGGCTGGATGATCGACCTTCGAGGCAATTGCGGTCGCTACAGCCACCGGTAAAGCACTGCGATTACGCAATGCATCCTTCGAATTAAGTGTTAAATGCAGATTGGATTTCAGGTAGCCATAGTCCGAGGCGATCACATCATACTCGCTCATTCGTGGTCCAAATTCGCGCTCCTGACTGCGTCCATTCGGACCCGGTGTGGCCAGACGTACGACCAGAATGTCCCGCAACGTGAACTTGTCCGTCTTCTCCAGATTGCTCTCCGACTTAATTAAATATATGACATTATCCAATGAGCGCATTGCGAACAGCACGGGCAGACCACCATCCTGATTGGGTTTAAATGTATCCCTGTCGCGTCCATTCAAATCGAGCACCATCCAAACGCCCATATCCTTCCAAATCAGCAGATACCAATTTGGTGTCCAAAACACGGCTTCCCTGTGCCGCTTAAAATACGCAGTCATGATGCGTCGCAAATGTGCCATGGTATTGGGTACACCATAGAGTTCGAAGGGCGCATCCAATTCGAGGGCAAACTCAATATCGTTGACCATAAAATGTCGTGTCACCGCCTGCTCATTGTCATCGTAGATCTCTGGATAGTCGTTAGCATTGGGCGATTCCATTCCCTCCGAGTCGCTAAACAGCAACTGACCCTCGGCAACAACCTGATCGATCAGCGCTGCTGTCCAATCTGTGCGCCTCGTGAAATATGTGGTTGCAAATGCTTTCAAATTGCCCGCAAATCGTATCGATTCCACACTGGGTACGCCTATCTTTGTCGGCACCGTGCCGAGCACATAGCCAAGTGGAAAGCCCAAGGATTTGTCAATAAAGTTTCGACGAAAGCGTGCGCATTCCTTGGGATCAAATGGTCGCAAATAGGGCTCATCGTGAACGCCATAGATGCGACAATGCTCATGACAGCAGGGATCCCGTTCATAATACCCAACCGATCTCGAGAAGCTACAAATACACAAGCATTTATTCAATGAATGTTATATAGTAATTACCACAGCAATCCTCACGTGGGCTCGCAGCGTACGGGCTTGGCTGGTGGACAGCAACATTCCCCTCCCTTGCTGCGTTTCCTATTTGCCATCTCAACAAAAATTACTTAAACAATTTTATACTTTTTGATGCACACACTAAAAATTTCAAGCACGTTCAACAGTTTGTGTGACAACTAAATGAATGAATTCGATTTTTGTATGCCGTTTTGAAACTGGAAAACAATTATACACTTCAAAAAAAGCTGCCTGATGAGAGTTTAACGATAGTCATAACTTTGGCAAAATTGAACCGATAAAAACTGAATTTGTCGATGACTATGAAAGTTAAATCAATATTCAAAATCAATATATTGTTAGTCATGGCTTGGCATCTTGATTAGTATTGTTTAGAATTACAATTTTTAACTCCAATTCAACTGGATTCAAATCAGATGTAACTTAATCCTCAGAAAATGTTGCTTAAATTTTATAAATGCCCTAAATGTTTCTAGCATTGATTTTATAATAGAAAAAACACCCAAATATTATGAACACCTTGACAGACCTTTGTGTTGCACGTTCTGTGGCATGTTCTGCTTAAATTTTGCTAAAGCTACAATCGCTTAAATGATTTGTCAGCCCTTTGGGGCCTATGAATGGCACCTGCAGGCACCTGCTGCCTTAGCACCTGTGCACAGCTAGCCTGCTTGCCTGTCTACTCATCAAATTTTTGTCCTGCCTGCCATGTAGATATTCCCCCAGTTACTCCAGGGCCGGCACTTGGTTTCATTACGAAAATTGCGCTGAATCACAACACCAAATTTCCGCATACGTATGGCGAACTTATGATAATTTTGATGCTCACACAGAGTTTGGGGGAGGGTAGGCGGGTAGGCGAAAACTTACTTTACTGAGTGTGTCTAGCGAGAAAGAATTGTTTGAGGTTCAGTTTTACGACAGGGGATGTTAATTTCTTTACGCAACAGTGGCGCGCACAGTGCCAACTAACAGTTAACAGCCATGGCCGGATAATATGAGACAACAGTTAAATGTAATTGGAAAGCTCATCAAGTGCCGTTGTGTTTGCTCTTGCTTTCGTTGTTGTTTTTATTGTAGTGGTTGTTGTTGCCACTTCAGCTGCGCACAGAAGTATGCAAAAGATTTTCGTTGTTTATTTTTTGCGGTTTATTGAAAACGAAGCCAAACGCTGCGTATACATAACGTGCTGTCAATGCTCGGCAACTGTGCTTGGCTAAGCTGCTTTTGCAGCTAACGCTGCTGAGATTTCTACCAGCCCCACCCCGCCTCAGGCCCCTCTCCATTTACGAGCTGGCCCTTTATTGTCCTTTTGTTTTTTGGCTTCCAGCCACGAAATTGGCTTAGTCAGCAAGCGGTACAGCGGCGGGGGGCATGCAACGTGCAGTCAACCATTGCTATTAACAATTTGTGCTCTGTGTGTGTATGTGTGTGTGTGTGTGTGTATTTGTGTATAAGGATTTTATTTCGTGTCATCCAATCAGTCGCGTTTCGAGTACTTTCAGTCACATGTGCAGATTGATTCCCCGAGCTGCCATCAAAGCCATTTTCGGCTTTGTTTTTTTTTTTTTATTTAGCTGCTGCTTTTTGTTTTATTTGTATTTTTGCTTTCAATTTATTTGCTGCTGTTTTAGCCGTTTTTCTGACCATTTCCTCTCACTGCTTTTGCCTTGCACAATAAATTAGCACAAAATCGTAAATTTTAAACACTTCATTTAACAGCGCCAAAAACACGAAACGAAATGAAATGAAATGAAATCGCTTAACGATTATCACCCACGACAAGGCAGGCGTTGCCAACTTCTCTGTATGTCTGTGTGTGTGTGTACGAGTATGTGTGTGTGTGATTTCTTAGTCAGTAACCACCAAGTGCCCCCAGTTTTCCAAGTGCTGCATGTTGGCCACTGCCCATTGCCCATTGGCATCAGAGTTTTCCATTTGCCTTGCTTCGTTCCCTTCACATTTTAGTTGCTAAGCATTTCCCAAGGCGGCGTTGCTGAATTTTTGGCTATTTTTTTGTTATTATTTTCTGTTACTTGCTGCAACAAAAGTGCACTTCCATTTAGTGCTCTGCCCATGAATTTCACCAACTCCATCGCTGCCGTTTCCCTTCAGTGTCGTACAAGAGACTCTTCGACAGACCCAATGCAAACCTGCTAGTTTTCCCTCCTCTCCATCTGCCGTTGCCTCGGCGTGTCTGTCTGCTTCAGTGCTCAATAATGATTTCCATTGCGAATTATTTGCATTTCCCCGAACTCATTATGTTTGCATTGTAAAATTTGCTACGGCATGCTGCTGCTGCTGCTGCTGCTGCTGTTGCTGCCGCTGACTTCAGCTCTGACTCTGATTGTAGTCTCTGACTGTTGGCCTGCTGCTGGCCAGCCACCTGCTCCTTCTGTTATGTTCCCCATTCTCTGGGCATTTCAAAAATGCCAAAATTCTTTTGTGCTTAACACGACGTTGATTCAATGCGGTTGCAATTTTGCTTAGACTCTTGATTGCATATGGACTTGGCATTGGTAAACAGCTAGCAGTCATTTTGTGGCATACAACTGTAAAAATTAATGACAACCCACATTAAATTTGTGTACATATTTATAGAAATTGAATAAATTGACAAGTTAAGCTTTATATGCCTTATAAGCTTTTATCATTCCATCATTAAGCTGTCTTTAAAAACTTTGATTTGCTTACTTGGTTTCTTGGCAGTTAAGCTTTAATCTTCGCACATAATTTACTCTCATATTTCCATCTCTTTTAGAAATATTTTAATATCTGTTTACACACAAATCCCCTCCACTCACACCCACACAAGCCACCACACTCACAGTCACACCCACACCCATACACCTATATCTACAAACACACCTACAATGAATCCCCAGTTGAATCTATTTTTAGCACTCATTGCTGGCAAGTCTTAAACCAATTTGACATTCTCAATCAACGCTGACGCCGGCGGTCTCCATTTTGTTTTTCTTATGGGAGGTTAAATTTAATGCCAGGCTTATTTCGATTTGATCAACGTCAGCCCACGCTCTCCCCCCTCTCCCCTATCGTATATAAATGCAATCATTTATGTATATTTACGTGAAACTGTTTGAAATATCAGCATTTTCAGCGGACAGGGCAGAAAATTATGTTGCTTTACCTTAATCTTTTTCTATTCGCTCTCCTCTTTCTCTCTCCTTCTCTTTCTCTGGCCTCTCTGTGCAGTGTGGCTGCATTTTCATTTTATTCTCGTTTCGTTTCGTTTCATTGCGTTGCGTTTCGTTTATTACATGTCAAGTGTCAATGAATGTCAGTTTGACAGTTCATAAGACAAATACAACAATGGATGTATGTGTCTGAGTGCCAGGATATAGCTCTTTCCAGGTGTGTGTGTGTGTGTGTGTGTGTGTGTGTACACAGGAAAAAGAGGGGGGTTACTGTCTAGGTCTTTTGACAGCCCGTGTAACATTTGCGGACATTAACGTCAACGTGCAGCGGCAACAACGGCATACCATATATGAGAGACGTGCCCAGCCATGCCCACGCCCACACACACAGTCGAGCGCATATCCTGTGTAGCCAGACGCCGCTTGCATCTTGAATAATGTGTAAATTGTGAGGCAGACGGTGAAGCCGCAGCTGAAGATTGCCAATTCTTGTGTACGTGTAAGTGGCATAAGAATGTTTCACGCTGCTGCTGCTGCTGCTGCTCCAGTTGCAGCTGTCCTCCTGTTTTGGCAGGACATGTGCCACGTCGGTTTTTTTGCCTGACAACTTATTGGCACTGGTGCTTGTACATTTTTTTGCTGTGTGTTGTTCACTTTAAACAACGCTGCAAATTGAAATCAGTTAAGAGCGCTGTCTTTAATAGACGCTGTCAATGCTTGAGTTGCGGAGTGTAAACGTGCGTATGTGTGTGTGTGTGTGTAAGAAAGAGTGTGTGTGTTTGTGTGTGTTAGTGGGTGTGGCTGGCATTGACAGTAAGCTAGCGAGCACCAACAGCAACAGCGACAGCAGCTGAAAACTTTTAACGCATTGTCATAAATCATGCTGCGGCAAACAAGTTGTATGGCAGTTGACCACGCCCATACGCCAACGCCCTTCTTTAGCGCCGGATGCCTTTTGTTAACCATTTGAAGTGGGGCGGCGACTGTTTGAGTTACATGCAGAAATGTCAAAGTTGAGCTCACAAGTTGCTGTTGTTGCTGTTGTTGTTGGTCGCAGCTTGTCAAGTTGTGCTTGCTCAGTGCTTTAGTTGGAACTCAGGACATGCGGCACACTTTGGCATTGGCAGCTGTGCTGTGCGGCAGGACACCAGCTACCTGGTCAAGTATTTCATCCTGTGGCCTTCGCTAGTACGCCTCTCTATCACTATTATTAGAATTTTATTGTCATGTTACGTATACGCCTCGCTTTCCTCCTTTTTATCTGACTTAAAATCTGTTGTAATTGAAGACATGATTCTATTTTTGCTCTATTTATCTATCTATCTATCTATTTATCTATTTTTTTTTTTTGTTATACTTTAGTTTTATAGTTGGTGTAGTTTGTGTGCCTGATTCTTGTTACATTTTATAGTCTTTGCTGGATGGAATGGTTTACAGTTTCTAACACTCAATTGCCGACCGGCTGCGCTTGAGTGGTTCGCTTTTTAGAAGGAGGAGGGATGGGGGGGAAAAATGTGTGGCAACATGAGATTTTGATGTAAGCGTGACGCTGCCATATGTGTACTATGTTGTAAGTGTTTTCAAATGAAACACTGGATGGGGGCTGACTTGTACATATAGCAACATCTGAGAGCACTTTTTGCCCACATTCCATGACGTTAACTAAAAATGTAGCTCAATTTCGAAGAAAACTCGCTTGACGTGACTGGGCTTTTTGGAATGGCTTTCGACACAGCAGCTGTTGTGTTAATCAAACATACTTTTTTGTTGCTTTTATTAAATTTTTGACATATTTGATACGTTCGCCTTTGATATAAAAACAGTGGCATTTTCCAACAAAAATTGCTGTTCACAAAAATTTCAAATATTTATGAAATAGAACATAATTCTGCAGTTACAATGAAAGTTTATGTTTCCTATCACTTTCGGTCACATCTTTAAATTCTATATAAAAGTAGAAATATATTTGCTATAAATAGTTCTTACTATTTTATTATCCCAGTTT